GAAGACGCCATAGCAAAGACAGGGCAACAGCGTACTACTCACCAGATATTTACTCCTAGATTGCCTCATCGATTCAGTGCCACAACAAAGATGGTGCAAATAATTCGTTCTATTTTTGAATTACAAAACGGTTCATGCACATATTACAGCATGAGCCAAGATGTTCTTGGTAATCCAAGAACAATCATAAAAGCCAGCAATTTGCATTTGGATATCAGACTGCTATAAGGCATCAGAGGAGAAAATTCCTAGCTTGAGAATCGGAGCATTATCTATAATGTTTGATGTTTCTTGCTACACTTTTATATCAGATTACGGCCTCGTTACCTAAAGCTTGTGAACTCTGCACCGATTTACGTGCTATTTTCTATAACTGTCGCTTTCTTGTGTTTTTCTTTTGGAAGTAAGAATACACACATACAAATCGGAAGGAACATACGTATTCAGAAATTTTTCCGAATCTTTTTGTTGTGATCCGCGGTATTGCTTCCGGGCCTGTTCCCCATATATGGGACGTGAGATGAGATACGGCAGGGCCATTTTTGGAAGTAGAAGGGCGAGATGGCACACTCGATGATGTACTTGGCTCTTCCTCATGCATATCTTCCACCACCATCCTTAAATTGTGAAGATTATTTTAGTGGAATCCTGTGAACGCATGCAACAAAACATACCCTCGATTATCAACAAGACGATATTTGCTCATACGATCTTTCAACAGACGTTGACTGCGATTTTTCAAATAGGATGCCTTTCCTTTGACGGCTATCAGTTCCCATCTGAAAGCCAAACGGCAAGAAAGGATTTTTGCATCCGATTTAAAAACGGGAATTTGAGTAACCAGATAACTTTGGACAAGTTCCATTTACTATTCATAAATCTCTTAACCACCATGTGAGTCTTTAACTGCACCGCTTCTAAAGAATTGTACAGCTAGCAAGGAAAAAAGGTCACAAAAAGGTCAAAAAGGTTCTTTTCAGTTGTTCTCAGCCCTCCACTGACCATGGTACCTCGCATTACCAATCTTAGATTCAATTTTTGATAAAAATTACAATAACGAAGGTATAATAAAGCAGATTAATTACATCACAACGTCAGAGAAAATCTGAACTAACTTTTTAGTCTTATCCTTCATTGAGACGCCCAAAGGAGCTGCACGCTTGAGCTGTGCCGCTGCGTCTACAGAAGCTGAAATGATAAAAAAAAATGCCACAAAAACCTCACAGAGCAGACAAATCGCGAACTTGTTTCGAGTCTTAAAAAGCAGTTCAACAACCTGCAGTCTTCGATTCACATCTAGATGATGCTGAAGGCGACTGACTCACAGACTTCTTCTTCTTCTTTCCTTTTTTACTTTTCTCCGACCCTTTACTTTCTGTCGAACTTTTAGATGCCGATTCCTAAGAAAAATAGCGACTAATTACTATAGA